ATGATAGCCAGCTTTATGAATTACTCTGATGGCTCTTTTCTGCAAAGTGCATAGCGGTTTGAGTGATAAACAGCCCCAGACTTTAACACAATAGCTCAGGTATGATCAAATCAGCGAAAGGTAAAGAATATTTAGTGCTTCATAATTTAGAAAATGTTCTGCTTTACTAAGAATTGTACACGTTTAATGTGAGACTTCCAGTAGATATTGTAGTCAATGATCACACATAAAAAATGTATTTCATTTACTTGTTCAACATTTCACCTATTGTGACTCACATCTACGTTTTCTTTAAAATATCCAAAAAACATGCACTTAGTTTTCTCCAAATTTAAGGACAGTTTCTTTGTGAAATGTAACTTTTTGAATTATTTATCTCTGATGTTATATCATTTAGGAGCTGCTCTAACCTCTCATTTGTACAGAAAAAAAAAATGTTATCATCTCCAAACAAAACAATCTAATACTTATGAAACCTAACATGTGTCATTTAAGTTGAAAACAAACTGTTTTGGTCTCAATGCTGACCCCAAGGGGTCATCACAAACATAACAACTATTATTTACAATCTAACTGTGAGCTAATTTACAGAGAAGAATGGATAAACAATTAGGTTTAAGATACTTAAAGCTCCTCGGCCAGGGGTCTTTCTGCATGGAGTTTGCATGTTCTCCCTGAGCATGCATGGGTTCTCTCCGGGTACTCCGGCTTCCACCCACAGTCCAACAACATGACTGTCAGGTTAATTGGCTTCTCTAAATTCTCCTTAGGTGTGAGTGTGTGTGTGTGAATGGTTGTTTGTCCTGTTTGTCTCTGTGTTGCCCTGTGATGGATTGGCGATCTGTCCAGGGTGTACCCCGACTCCTGCCCGTAGACAGCTGGAGATAGGCACCAGCAACCCTCACGACCCCGCTTGGGATAAGCGTGACGGAAAATGGATGGATGGATGGATACTTAAAGCTGGGAGAGATGCTAACCAAAAGCTCAGGATGCAAATGGAGGAACATAATAAAAATGCATGCCACACTTTTCAGCTGTTTATTTAAAAGAAAAGTTAAAACACAAAATTCTATAATTTCCATTATTTCCCTTTTCAATTATTCTGAAGCTCATGGGTTTAATGTGACAAAATGTTTAACCGTTTCAAGTTTACAAAAGTACAAGCCTCCTATTATGCTGTTTCAGAGCTTTTGCTGAATGCATGTTTCTGTCGCCCTCTAGGATCACTCATACATTCCTACAGCCAATGAGAAAACAGTTACCTACAGAAGGGACCGTCCTCCTGACCACCCCGTGGAGATGCACATACAGATTTCCAAGATGCCTCTCGATGGCCATTGGCAGTTCTAAACAACACATGAATATTGAAGTCTGAAAGAATGCATCAAAGGCAAACAAAGAGGAAGAGTTGGACTAGAATCTTCTTTTCTGTTTCCTATAACACTCCCAGGCATCACCTAACTATATGTGAAGGACAAGATGATAAACTTGACTCCAAAACCTCAATGAACCAGATTTTTTTTCTTTTTTTCTTTAATCAACTGACCAAACCCTGAGAGACTTTGCGACTACAGTGGCCAGTATTGTTTGAATCAAGATGAAGAAAAGAGTACAAGTCGCCCGCCTTCTTCTTTCTCTGCTCATTTAAGAGGCCAATCAAAGGGTGATTGTGATGGTTTTTCTCTTCTTTCCTCTTAACAGTTCAGAGGTACTCCTCTAAAATTTAGATTAATGTGAGAATTTTTTTTTTTTTTTTTGATTGTTTGTTTGCTGATGTGGGCATTTGTGCTTTCTATCTGTGACTTAAATGAAAACACTACATATTGAAATGTCATGTTTCTGAAGGCGACTCCTCCACTTGCAGCATCTCCCTGTCCTTGTCTGCCCCCGTGTGGTCAATTTAATGTACTGCATCCTCTCTAAAACAAAAACAACAACAAAAACACTATTGACCTCAGCTTGCTCCTTTGATTGTTTCACCAATGGCTGTTTTTCTTATGAACTTTTCTTTTCAGTCATTTGGTGGGTGATTAATTTAACAGGGTGTGTTTGTAAAAGATCAGTGGCCTGTTCTTTACAATGTAAACTTTGCACTAAAAGAAGCTGCATTATACTACTGAAAACTGTGGGCATTCTGGGACCGGAGAGCTGTGAACTTTGGGCATTAGAAGCTGATGTAACAAATCCACCTTAACACTGGAACAACCACGGCTGAGATTCATGTTTGAAATATTTATAATCAACAAGTATTTATAGTGATATAACAACTGTCACCTGATCATGTGAGACGTTACCTTTCTACATGAAAGGCGTAACGTCGTGTTCTTTCTCATGATCCGTTTGCAGAGCTGTCTGTAAATCTAAAGGCTTTAAGGTACGAATGAACTTAGCTGATACGGAGTCAGAATCTAGTCTTCACAAACTATTGGAGATAACCTGAGAGTTTTGATTTAGCTTGATCCTGCTCAAATTTTCAGATTGTTTTAAAGAAGTGATTTTTTGGTACAAACTGTTCTTTTTATCTTGTGACTTTGAAACACTAATAACTATTTATTTTGATTACGTTGCAGGAGATTTTCCATATTTCATAAGAGTGCTGCGCAATAAGACGGATACTGTCGTTTTTATGTGGACTGTGGAAGGTTTTAGCAATAAGGTAGCATTATTAGTCATCTCATTTAACATGGTACGAAGTTTTTTAGTGAAAATGGCACTTTTTCAAGATAGCCTTATTGTAAGTTATTGTGTATGTCTGTTTTTATCAAAATAAAATGTGCAAGATGTATCAGTTATTACTTGAGTTATTATATTTCTATTACAATGAATAATTGTATTGAAATATTACTTATCATTTTTTTGGATTGTAAAACACATTAGTCTCAAAAGAGCAATAATGTAAAGTTTAAATATCTGAAAGTAATAAACAAAAATGATGATGCTCATGCTCTTCTGCTTTTAACTTTAGCATGCAGCCAGTTCAGGTTAGATAGGTGTGCTTGACTTCTTCAAATATCTGTGGATATTTGCATTTATATTTGCATTATTTTGAGATAAATTGTTGTGTTTGTTGAATAGATCTGATTATTTTCTAACAGAGGTGTAGGACATACTGGTAGTTGGAGTCATTATGAAGTTTCATTCAGATGGAGATCAACTGACCCTAAATGTCTGGTTAGTCCGATAATAAACATCTGAAATGTTTAAAAAGTTTGTGATAAATTGTCTTTAATTATTTTTCCTTTATTCATTTTCTGCTAGGGATTCAGTCTTAGATAAACACCTTAAATAGGCTAAAGATTATAAGTAATATTTGTATTTAAAAGGTATTTTTTCCTATTGGCTCTGATTACAGATGAGCAAAACATTGTACATCGAGGCTATACTGTACATGACGACAACATTTAGGTCTCTAAAAATATTAGCAGAGTTCAATTCTACAGTTCACACATTTAACTAGACTGAGGGGGTGCAAGACTTTATTTTCCTGATTTACACCAGTTTCCCATATTTTTGTGTGTTTTCTTTGTCATTTATCTAAGAAAATGAAATCCCCATTTTGAGTTCCTTCAGTTGCCTTTGTAAAAACATTTTTATTCAATATCCACATACTCCCTTTAGCTCAGGCATCTGCACAGATGTGGCTCTAGAGCTGTAACTGACTTTATTATGTTATCAGGTTTAAACTTATGTGAATCAGGTTTCAACCATTTTAAATGAAATTACTGTATTGAAGGTCCACATGAATGTAGCAGTGATATTTTTGGAGATTTGTTTTATGTGACTCTTTTGACAACCATTTTGTTCACATGTATCTCACCTCATATCAACAACCCATTAACGAAAATGTTTTATTCTTTTTTTTTTCATGTTTTATTTTTCTCTTTATTACAAAATCTAAAAGTGGTTCTAAATACATTGTGCCAAGTTCCCAATAGTAGATATTTTTCTAAAAAAAAAACAATTATTAAAGATTTTTTTTATGTTTCTCGGTCATTTTTTACTCAAATTGTAGAACATTACTGTTTTAAACGACCTCTCTATGAAAAGAGCGAACTTTACATTTTATGTTTTCACAAAAACTTTACATTATCAGTCATTTGAAAAGTTTGAATTTCCACCCACTAAATGCAAATAATAGAGAAGTTAGTTTATTTTCCCAAAGAAATGGTTAGAAATGAACATACAGCCTGACCAAATCAGGCTAAAAACCAAACAGCATGCTGGGAGCACAGCTGCTCTAATGTAGTCATACTGGCTATTGATCATTTTTGTCTATATAAAATTAAATATCTACCAATTAATCTCTTAAAAGAAAAGAAAAAACGAATATATAGTTTGCATTTGACTGATTCTTGCCCAGACTGTCCGTGACCCTGATGGATAAACTGCGGAATAATGGATGGATGATTCCTCTGTTGATGTGAAGCCTATTAATCCTTAAATGAGTTTTGTCAAATACCCTTTCATTTTTATTTTTATTGTTCTCCTAAAAGGTACTTTTAATGCATTTACAATTATACCAAAATGTGGTTTTTTTTTTGCATAATTCCCAAAAAAGGACGGACATCTCATAATATAAAGAACTCAACATAATAAATCGTACAAAATCTTCCTGTTTTATTAATAAAAAGTACAAGCATTGATAAATTATAATCATTTAGTTTTTCAAAGTGAGATATTCTAAAAAAAAAAAAAAACAGACATAAACTTAAATATGTGCTTAACTATTAAATGTATCAAGATGATTCAAAAGAACAATTGAATAAGAAAAAAAAACTATGGAATAAATTAGGAGTATGTATAAAACACGTCCAACTGTACACTGCAAAAACGATCTAGAAATACGTAAAAAATTCTTAATTTAAGTGTATTTCCCCTTAATTTGAGCAGGTTAATAAGATTATTTGCCAATAGAATCAGTAGTTTTGCTCTTAAAATAAGATAATTAGATAATATGCACTTGAAATAAAACAATGTAATTGTTTTTTTCTTATTTTGAATGTAAATTGTCTTGTTCTACTGGCAAAGTGTCTCACTTACCGACTAAATTCAAGAAAAAATGCGCTTATTTTAAGAAAAAATTTTGATTTCGATTTTTTGCAGTGTAGTAAACACATTTCATATTAGGCTCTTATTATCAGATGAGGTAAGCAGACAGTGTGTAAACACTTCACAGCTAAGATTAACCATAAAGTGCTAATTCAATATTTCAGTGTCCAGAAACCCCGTTTCAGGATCATTAAAGGTACTTTCATTCCCTTGATCTCTCGACCTTGGCGCTCTGGCTGCCCGGTGACCGTCCAGCGCCGCTGTCTCTGTCCTCGCTCTCTTTCTGGGAGCCCGGCTCGGTGCCGCCCTCCGAGATGTGCGTCCTCAGGTGTTTACTCAGATGGTCAGAGCGCATGAACCTCTTGTGGCACATGGGACACTCAAAGCGCTTCTCGCCGGTATGCGTGCGCAGATGCCGCTGGAGCTCGTCCGAGCGCGTGAAGCGTTTCCCGCAGAAGAGCCAGTTGCAGACGAACGGCCGCTCGCCAGTGTGCCAACGCAGGTGCGCCTTCAGATGGGACGTCTTGCCGTAGACTTTCCCGCAGCCCGGGATGTGACAGCTGTGCACGCTCCTCCGCCGCGGACTCGACCCCCCCTGACCGAGGCTCTCCGCTTCCTGACAGTTCGGACAATCGCAGGTTGCTCGAGCAGAATATTTGCGCGATGATGGCTGAGATGGCGTGGGCTGTGAAATAGAGGGGGTCCCCGTGGAAAGAGGTGCTGCGCTCTTAGTCTCTTTGTACGGAGAAGGCAGGAAACCGTCAAACCGGTGCTGCGCGCCCGTGCGCAGCTGGGTGGCACCGGTGTTGAATGCGGGGCTGTAGTCATTACTATAGCCGCTGAAGGCGCACTGTAACCCGGCTGAGTTCTGCGAGTCCACCCAGCTGGTCCCCATGTCCCACCACACAGCAGACCCGTTACTGACCTCTCCAGCTGGTTTAAACCAGGAATCATAAGGGTGCATCCTCTGATAAATCCCCGCGATCCCATCCACCGGGGAAGAAAGTTTGGGCACAAACACCGGATGCTGAGCAGAATCAGAAACGCTGTAATCAGAGGAAGGTCTGGTGCTTTGGTACAGGGAGAAATCACTCCCTGAAGTGTTTGGAAGTGTCACTGTAAAGGCGCTGGAGGCCTCTGATGTAAATCCTGGATCATTGTTATTCCTTGAGAGTCCAGAGGAAACTGCGGTCGCGCTGCTGTTGGCCTGTGGACTCCTTCTCCAGGGGTGGAACCCTTTGGAGAGTCCTGGGGCCCCATCCGACAGGACATGGGAAGAGGAGGATGTCGGATCCCCGATCCTACTGCAGGTGGCGGCCAGCATTGCCAGCGGGGTGCTGCCCAGCCTGGGTTCTTCCTGTGGAGAAGAAAACACAAACTTCCATATAAGTTATGATGCGCCTGAGAATTAGAAAGTTTCAGATTAAACTAAGCTTTTAAGGTAAGTCAATTACAACAAAGGAAAAAAAAAAATAAAAAAAAAAATCACATATTAGAAGAAAAGCCGAACTTACGCGCAGCAGCGCAGCCATGAACCGCGCAGTGATTGTTCTTCTGACTGGGACCAACTAGTCTGTCTCTGGGTGTGTGTCTGCTGCCCTGTCTGGATCCAATCAGTCTGAGGTTTCGTCTCCGTTTCGTTGAGTAGTTGTAGCTCCTCTGTGCCTTTGAAGTGTCGCTGGGAGCTTGATGGCCAATCAGAGAGCAGCGCAAACCTTTTCCAAACATCTGAGCGCCAACAGGCTTGATGGAGGTCATCATAAATCGCAAAACGTCAACTCTTGTAAGCGAGTTTAGCTTTAAAGTAATTTACCAGCAATTAAGCATCTAAGAAAAAAAAATAAAAATCCTTAGTGCAGCTGCCCATTTTCATTTTGCTCTGGCAATCACGAGATCTATCAGCTTATTTAAAGCAGGGAGTTTCAGTGTTTCATGCAAAATTCGTCCTTTCAAGGAATCAGAACTTTAAGAAATGAAAAACATCGATATCTCTAAAAGATTTAACACAGTCTAAGACACTTACCTTAACATCAGACATATTTTTTTTACTTAAATAAAAGGGTGACGTGCATTTTTTTAAACAAAAAAGTATCACGCACAACTGCCTAAATCCTACGAAAGAGGAGTAGGACCACTGAAAAAAAATCTAAAAAGTTAACTGATTTTTAAATTTTATTTCTGAATAATATGAGAAAAAAGTCAGAAAGTAGAAATTCTGACTTTTTTCCTCAGAATTCTGACTTTAATCTCAGAATTCTAAATTAATTCTGACAGATAACAAACATGTTAGCATCAGGCTTTAGCCATGCATGTTTTGGAGACTAAACTAGCTCTCTTGTTTTAATCACCTTCTGCTCCTCGATTACGTAATGAAATAGCATCACCAGGGATCCCTCTGCCATGTAAAAAGTCGCCTAATTGCATCATTTTCCATCAATGCGTTGCTGGCCCTCCCAAACAACTCTCATTTCTGTCAGTGAAGCTGAGTGCTCCCACATCTCTTCCTTCATGGTGCCCATCTACATTAAGATCCAAATTTATGAGATTAAAGTCAGAATTCTGAGATTAAAGTCAGAATTCTGAGAATAAAGTCAAAATTCTGAGAAGAAAAGACAGAATTCTGAGATTAAAGTCATTAAAGTTTTTTTATTACTCCTTTATATAAAGAAAAAAATTCTGGCCTTTAATATTTCAAAACTATATAAAAAAATAAGTTTTGAGGAGGAATGCTTTCTGCACCAGTGAGCAATTTAAATGTAAAATGCAGGGGATTGAAACTGGAAAATATATTTATCCATTGATTAGTTTTCCTAGACAGCATTGGTGACTTTGATAATCATTTTAAATTACAGATTATGTTAAGTAAAATAAATAAACAAGGGATTATAAGAATAAGTCTATAACTCAGCCGCAAAGTTAAAATACCAGGAAAGAGTTTAATCAATAACCATTCATAATACTGAACATTTTTAGAGTTTTCATCAAAGTTTTATTTTTATTTTTGTCATTCTCAGGCGGAGCTTTGAGGGACAGCTTGACCTGATAAACAATGACTTTGGGTGATTTTAATCCACGTCACATTACACCTCCTGCAAGGAAACTAGATATTTTTTTTTTTCAGCTCAAATAGAGAAGAAATGGAACCATGCAATTTTGATTTATTAAATGCCTTTCACCAATAAATGTTTCTGTTTCAATCAAAGAACATTGAATTTCCCACTGAAGGTAGAAAAACTTTTAAAATGTTCATACAAAACATTCAAAGAACCTGGTATTTCTACCAAGCATTGTAAATCTTCACTGAAAAAAATAATGCAACCGTATTTGGCATTTGCTTAATCATATTTAGTTACTTTGCACAATTATTTCATGTTTGCAGGGTGAGACATACAAAAAAAAGTGTTAAAGTAACTAAATATGATTACGTTCATGCTGAAAACTGAGCTTATTTTAAGACGCCCTGTACAACAGAACCTTTATAAGCGAGCTTTGTCTGGTCTAATGTAAATATTACATTAAATATAAAAAATAAATATAAAAATATTACATTAAGAGTTTTGTTTTAACCTGAATAAAATATTTTGATGGTGTAGTATTTTAAAGTTTTTCTTTGCATGTGTGTTTTTGGTTTGTTTTGATTTGTAGGTGGTTGGCTTCGTCAGGAAATTCTAAAAAGCTAAAACCCAATATGTTTTTTTTTTTATGACAGGCCATGCAGAATAATGCGTTTTATTATGGATATGGATGGATAAATGGGTAATCACATTCTTAAACTGGACACAGTTAACTAAATTTCAGCACCAACAACCCAGAGAAACACACTGAATTATATTACTTTGATAATACATAATGAAGATTTTACCATGGTATTTCTTTTTTTACATTTCTGTTTTTCTGGTCTGTTCTCTGCCTCAGTCAATTCAGACAGACTAATATTGTGTCAGTATGTCAGTTATTGTATATCTATTGTAGAATAAAGCTTACATGATCAAAACTTTTATTTCATATAGACTCTTTATATCATATAAAAAAGGGCAGGGATCACCTGAATCCTGTGATGCTGTTTGATATAAATGTCTGCAGTTACCTACAGGTAATGTTATTATCAGGTAAATGTCTTTTTTAAATATTTCTTCTCCCTGTTCTCCTTTTAAGAAGGCGGGATGCTTATTCAGGTCTTCTGAATGTCTTCCAAGCTTTTTTCTTACCATTGCAAGAGGATTTTAGTTCACTGTGTAAACATATCTATAAGGCTTTTAAATAAAAAACACCATTTCAACACCAGGATGCTCTGTTGATATTACATATAAAAACTTCATTTGGATTTTCCACTGCAGTCCTGTGTGAGGTAGATTATTATTTTTTTTTTGTTGTCATTATTATTACTTTAACTCTTGTTCAAGTCTTAAGAGGCTGGCTGATGAAAAGAGCCAAGTGAGCCACAAGGATTATTTTTTAAATGATACATTAAAACCTAAAAGCGCAACAGAATCTCAGAATCAGCATCAAAATCAAGCGGCCAAGTTTGTGTTCTCAAACAGGAACCTTCTTGTGTTGAAAAGCTGTATAAAATGAAATAAAAATATACAATGAAAGTTGCTAAGTCTAAATGTCTCGTCAAAAAACAACAGCTTGAACAACCTTGCAATATAGAAATAATATGACAATTTAAAAACATGATAATAACAGTATGTGCAAGTGAGCATCTCATCCTGTTTTTTGTAAGCTAAAGACCAGTTCTAGAAGTGTGATCAGTCTTAAATATTGTGTAGCAGAGTGTGTGACTACCCTGGTTTTCAGGTGTTCATTGAGTTGGCAGAGACATCAGTTTATCTTTTTTTTCGCCCTGGACCTGCATTAAATCTGCGCCTGATCACCCTCTCTGCATATTTATCTGTTGCATGCAGTTTGGACCTGTTCTGTTTTGTAGATGAGTCAAACCAGACAGAGATCGATCTGCACAGAACAGACTGAAAATTGGCGGTATAGAAGATGACATCACCTCTTAGAAACTCCCTTCTTTAATTATTTGCACAGACTGAAGTCTAGAGATGGAAACTATGTTTTACCATAAACCACACAAACAACTACTGCAGCATTTCAGTTCAAGCGCTTTTCTTGCCTGCTGATCTGTACATTAATGTGTTGGTAAATGAGGCTACAGTATAAAACCTCTTGAGTGATTAAAAAAAATCTTTTGGTTTCAGTTTTACTGGAGAGGCTCATTTTTTTTCTTTTATAAATGTCTTACACACTCAGTTAATAAAAGCATGTTAATTGATTGCTCTGCACCCAGAACCAACCAATCAGGGTTGTGTTGTTGGGAACACCGGCACTAGAGGGTTGTGAAAACACCAAAGTAAATATGTCTGGTTGACTATGACCACAGATTGCCTCTAATACATTTTTAAAGGTGTGGTTGTAGCATCCACTCAAGCTTCCCTGGTGCTGCTGCTGCTTGCTTCCAATTTTGTTCTGCTTAAAACACACTAAACATTAGCTGTTATGTCCAACTTCAACAACTGGACAGAGAAAGAAAGTAAAATATTAACATTAGAACCCACACCCACCTTCAAACATACCACACACAATCAAACAGACTATCAGCCTATCGTATTTACTGGACTGGAACTAGCTGCACTTTATGCACACACTACATGCTACAACCCATTGTGCATACTGCAAACTAGATCCCATATTTTTTAAGTATGAAGAAGTTTAGTATCTTCTGTTTTCTATTTTCTTACAAACATTTTATTGCATAATATTTGCACTTTCTAAGCAGTCTTTGCCATAGTTTTTATTTGATTACATTATTAAAATTCTTGATTCTAGAAGCTGTTATAGTAGCACAGTGCTGTACGCAATGTGACAAAGCAAGTCTGCTTCTTCTGGGCATTAACTGTTGTTTTAGCTTCTTTAAATAATCTTTTTTCTTTTCAGTGTATCCAAATAGTTGGCTAAATGCAACTGGTTATGATAAGAGATTGTATAAAAATGTACAAAAATGAATAATTCTTACAAGGAGAAACTCTTAGAAGGTCTACTTTTCTGTCAAAATGAGAGGCCCTGACTCTGGCGCCTGCTGTCCTTCTCAGCCTGAGGCATGGCTGTGTGCACAGGTGGAGTTTACTGTAGGCCATCATCCCTTTAACCTGATCGCCATCCTCAAAAGCTAGCCCAACAGCTGTCCCTCTCTTTTGGAAGCATTCTTTTCCCACACTGAAAGTGTGTGTGCATGTGAGACCATGCATGTGTGCGCCTAAAGGGCACCCAATGAAACCCTGTCTAAAGCCTCAACCTGTTCCTTTGGCGATGATAATGACCACATTATCACGCGCCATCGAACGTTGACAAAAAAGGTTGTTGGGAGCTTTCCAATCACTTTGTTGGTGCTGAGACAGAAAGAGCAGAGAGAAAAGAGTGAAATAAAGATCTGGCACTTCTCAGGGAGAGGGGTGGTAAAGTATTTTATTTCCTCTTGTTACCTCCCCCCGTCCTACTGTCCTGGTCCCTTGGGTTACTTTTTGCTGCTATCCTGATTGGCTGTCCTGCTGAGACAATTAGCAGGGGAATCAGAAGAGTCAAAAGACAATCTGTTCAGCACAACATAAAAATATTCAGGGTGGTCAGGTGTTTGGTCCAATGCATTAT